ATAAATTACTGAGAATAATAATATAATATTAAAAGAATATCAAATTCTGGAAACGAGAAATTCCATAATCCTTTGAACGTATTGCAGGAATTAGGATGTACTCAGTCGAAAGTTGCTGGCGATAATTACAATTTTAAAGACCCATCAAATATTCCAATCGGGAATTTCACTAATCCATCGAACGTAATACAGGAATCGAGAAGTTTTCAGTCGACAGTTTCTCACAGTGGTCACAATTTTCAAGGAACATCGAATATTCCAAACGGAAATTTCGCAAATCCATCAAACATAATAATGCAAGAATCAGGAAGTTTTCAGTCGGCTTGTTTAAAAAAAAAACTCAACTGAATTTGAACCGCTTAACCGCTTATCATTTTTCAAGGAAAAATGATCATCTGCTTAACGTAATCGAAAGAATTGTTGATCAGCAATTACAAACCGGCGACGATAATGATAACGACAATAATACTGAAATTCCCAGATTCTCAGAAAATCAAGACGTTCTTTACAATAGTAATCCCGAAGTTCATATCTGCTCAGAAGATAATGATGTACTTAACGATAATAATCCAGAAGTTGCCAGCTTGCCTGAAAAACACGACGTTCTTCCTCCTTGTAAGGACTATTGTCGTTATAAATGCGTCAGTCATATAAGTTTGGAATTGCAAAAGAAAATTAATACTTCATTTTGGAAACTGAGCTGGATTGAAAACAAATTCTTTATATCAAGACATGTAAAAAACAACGCAATTAAACGAAGAAAAGTCGCAAATGATAAATATGTAAGGAACAATCAATATAGTTATCATTTTATGATTGACGAGGTTTCAGAAAGACAAGTTTGTAAATTATTTTTTCTTGGAACATTGGGCTACAGTGCGAAAAATGATTTTATAATAAGAAACACTATGAAAAATGTGGAACCTTCTACTTTGCTTCCAAATATGTCAGACGGTCGAGGAAAAACAAAAAACTCCAACCCAAAAATTCCACACAATCAAATAGAAAACCATATTGAGTCATACCATCCCAGTGTATCTCATTATCGCCGAGCTCATGTCCCCAATAGACGATATTTATCAACGGAATTGAGCATCACACAAATGCATAAAAATTATAATGACAAGTATCCTTCACAGAAGTGTTCCTACGAAATGTATCGTTCGATTGTACAGAAAATGAATATATCGTTTACAAAATTAGGGCACGAAGAATGTGAAGTATGTGAGGAGTTCAATGTGCATAACCCTGATAATTCGAAGGACAATTTAAATTTAGAATGCGATATTTGTGTAGACTGGTCAGTTAACAAAAAAGAGCTGCAGAATCTCGACAAAAATATATGGATCACGTCAAGAAATCTAGTGAATTACTCGATACTGCTTATTTTTCCGTGGATTTGCAGAAAGTGATAATGTTACCTCGAATGGATGAGTTGAAAGTTTCGGTATTTACAAAAAGAATAGTAGCCTTGAACGAAAGTTTCGTGCCGCTAGGATCTTCCAAGGGTAAAAATAAAATTGTGGCTGTTATTTGGCATGAAGAGGTCTCTAGTCGAAAAAAGGAAGACATCGTAAGCGCCTTCCATGCATTTTTTTGGAAAATCGCGACGTAAAACGTATTGTATTGTGGATGGATAATTGCTTTGGCCAGAATAAAAATTGGTGCAATTTTGGGTAAAATTTACGATTTTTCCGACTTCCAATCAACAGTGGCTAATGCTAATTCAGAGAGAGTTACGGTTAAATCTTTAACGCCAGCTGATTTTTTTAAGTGGAAGGATCATTCATCTGCACCAAAATTGGAAGCTGCTAATAGACCGTATATACGAGATATTAAACAAATTAGAGTAAAACGAGGGAGCTACGAATTAGAATATAACTTAACTTATGAGGAAAAAACTACTTTGCCGAAACTGGACTTTTTAAAAGCTAAATGTATTAAAAATGGAATTCCTCTGCCCGAGTGCACTAATCAATGTCGTGGTATTCCTAGTAGTAAGAAGCAAAACATTATCGACAAGCTTCTTCCTATGATGCCGAGAAGCAGACATCGCTTTTGGAAAAATTTGGAGGTATCAGATGTTTCCGACTTAATTGAAACTTATGATGATGGTGAGAGCTAAAATATTAATTTCTATTATAACTAATCATGAAATATTAATATATATTTCATACAGTATAAACTGTCGAAAATTGATGCATAAGACTGTTATAACAAAAGATTCTAAATCTAACAATAAAAAACAGTTTGAAAAACATTTGAGTCAATAAAATAAGACGTTTTTTCCTTCCTATTTTACTCTCTAAATAAAAATTAGTAAAAAAGCTAGTAATTGGTAGTAGTTTTCTACTATTTTAAACAGTCAGAAATGGTTTACCGTGAAATAGTAGAAATTGACTATTTAAATTAGTAAATCTGAGTGTCAGATTTTCATTACGAAAGGATATTTACTTTCTGTTTCAAAAAATAATGTTACTACAAAATGTATAGTACACGGAAAAAAATTTAGCGATGCGAACGAGCGATTTTGGAAATTAAGCTAAAATGAAAATACATATAACTCATTTTTGAAATCAATTCAGCTATTGTCAATAAATTTTTTATAAAGAATTGGCATTCTTGATGTTATTGCTGAAACGAAAAATTTCATATATTAAGAAATTACGCATTATTTTTAAATAGAAGAAATAAACAAGACTTTCGAATAAAGCAGCTAAATATACCTCTAGAAGCGCCATACGTATAATCGCTTTGATTTTGTGAACATCAGTGATTTGGCGATATTCAAAATCCCTGACATATATAGTGCATTGATATACAGCATAAGTTAAAATGGCCGTCATCAGTCGTTAGTGGTCGTTAATGTGACACTAATAGCTTGTTTTTTTCGAGATGTGATTGTGGATTAATTTTTGTGATTTTAAAGAACAAGTAAGTGTTGTGTTTTGTAATGCAATAAGAATACTATTTTTCTCATAATAATCAGTGCATTCACAAATATTGACGGAAAATAGTGTAATTATTTCTTATGTTCAGCACGTGATTTCCATGCTTTTAACCTTTTGAATAATGCAATATTTTGTTCTAATTATTTGAATGTAAAAAATGTTTACAGAATTAAAAATTAAGATGGATTCTTTCGTCAAAAATATTCTAATTGCCTGGAAATTGGAAAAGTATATACCGGCTTTTGAAGGTTAGGTTAATATATGTCATGCACTTTATTATATATTGTGTATATATATACTTGTGTGTATATGTATAATTAAAATATCCTAAAATATTAAATTTTAGAAAAAAGAAAATTAGTTTAGATAAAATTTTACAGAAGAGGAAATAGACGAAGAATCATTTCGAGTCATAAGTCCGGAAACAGTCGAAAAAATTTTTCCTAAGCATGGCCCACGTGAAAAATTTTTTTCTAATTGGAAAAGAGAATTTGCAGTTGTAAATGTCATTATATCGGGTGATCATCAATTTGTAAGTAAAATTTTATATTATGAACTCATTAAAAATATTTATATATTTATAGGTTATGTAATATGTTGCGAAACCAAAACATTTTGTTTATTGTTATTATAAGATAAGCTATAACTGTCAAAACTTTTTTTTAGTCTTTCGAAAACGAAGAAATAAATGAAGATAATAATTTAAGAGCATCGAGTGACGCGAGAAATCAAGCAAATTCGAATGAGGCTGAAAAATCCAATGATAATTTAAGTAATCCTCTATCAGGTATAAAATTTTTACTCTAATTAAAAATAGAAACAGTTATATCAATTATAATAAGGCAGAATTATTTTTATACAGCTAAATATATATTTAGAATAGAATAATACTTTTGCACCTAATTTTTACTAAGTTAAATTTTTTTAAAGTGAAATTTCATTTTCATTTATTTAATCAAGTGTTTTTAACAAAAAATTTTACCTATAATAAAATTCTCATTACATAAATTTTTATTGCATTCAATTCTTTTAATAGTTTCTGCTTAGTAAAATTATTAAATTAAAAAATTTTTAATTCACCAAATCACTTGTCATGCAATCTCTTATTATTGTCATACATTGTTATTTTTTTGGAACATTTTAATTTAAATTTTCATATGCTAAATCTTTTAACTGTCAAAATAAATTGACAGGAATAATATTTAAGTACAAATCATATTATTAGACCATTAGAAATGCAATAAATAATACATACAATTTAATATTTAAACGTAATTGGTTTAGATACTAACATCGAAAACATCTTAAAAAATTCTTTGGAGGGGATTGCTGCATTAAAGTATTACAAGGAAAACAACATTTTGACAAATGAACAACGTCTCGACATTGCAGACATTTTAATTCGCAATGAGTTAAATGCTCAAAATGATTATACGTAATTATTTTTTATTAAAATGGTTTTAAGGTTTAATGGCGAAACAAAAAAGCATACAACAGAATTTTCAAGTTAATCTTTGCCTAATTCCATTTTAAACTCTTAAATTTTTTTTAATATATATTAATTATTTTTTTAGCATTCATTCGAAAAGATTAATTGAACTTGCTGATTGTATTGTCAGCACGTTTCCTACTGAAAACGCTTCGACCTTTTACATACCATTTAAAATTAATTCCGTCACAAGACAACCATCCTTAGCAAAAGGAAAGCTTCAAAGTAAATATTATTCGTTGAGAAATAAATTAAAAAGGTCTGGAATTACAATCGGTAACATTAAAAGTATTAAGCCGCCAGGAGTAGAAAATTTGTTAACGAGATCACGTAATGCTATATTAGCAAACCCTGATGAACTTCAATTGCAAGGTATATTGATTAATTAGAAAATACTTTTTGATATAATTGAAATTAAATTGCACTAGGCCTACACGAAAAGAAAAAAACAATTATTATTTAGGTTATCTCTATAATTATTCTTAAATGTATATTTTATTTTATAGAAACAGAGGAATTAAGCGCATCAGTGCAATGGTTGAAAAATCACATAGGCCCTTGGGAACAAGTAATTGAACAATGGATTTTAACCTCAAAATTAAGAATCAAAAATCTAATTGAAAGTGACCTAACGAATGTAATGTACATGTCTGTGTACAAAGCACTACAACAGCCTTTAGGATTTCAATTAGTGCGTAACGTATTCTTATTAAATTTTTTAATTTGCAATTATTTATTTTATAAAGTTAATTATTTTTTGTTTATGATTTTTAGATCGATGAGGATTTTAAACAAATGCATCAAAATAAAAGTGATGCCTTGAACAACGAGTGGGACTCTTTTGAAAAAGAAATAATAGGTTGCGCGAAAACTAGAAAAAGTTCTGAAATATCTGCTCTGCTTGCCGTGTACAATTTGATCAACGATGATACTGATGGTTAAATTTTATTTTTATCAAAATTTGTTTTATAAAACTTCCTAATATGTTACATTTTTAACTACTCTTGTTTGTGTGTTAAAGATTATTTATTCTATTTATTTCTCAGCTTCAGTGGCTGTCATCTTTAGACTAATCCCTTTACTTCTACCTACTTTAAACGTAAGAGGATCGTCTAAAAAACGGGTGTGGAAATTAAGTAAACCAGAAGTTCAAGACGCTTTTGTAATGCACATTACTGTAATAATATTTTTAATAATATTAATATATTTTTTTTCATATGTATTTAAAATTTATAAAATGTTTAAGTTTTCATTTAATAAATTTCATTTACTTTTTACAGAATATAACTCAATTACAAGGCAGATTGGAAAATCGTCGTAAGAAACTCGAAATGCATGGTCTTACCGAGCAACCATTACTTGTTCTTGTTGGCGAAACGTTACTTCAAATAACTGCATCGTATGTATGTATAAATGATATTCGATATCATTTTGACTCACCAAAGAAAGCTTTCGACATCACATTCAAAAGTTTTTATGCTTTGCAATTAAACTACCCAAAGGAAGCAGAAAATTGTTGGTTAGTAATTCAGAATAGAATTTATAGTATAATCGACAGAACTGAAGATTCTTTAGGAGAATCTGTTTTGACTCTGCTCGGAGACATGCGAAACCGTGGTACATTAAACATTGAACAGTCTTAAATATTGTTCAATAATGTGATATTTAAAAGTAAGACATTTCTTTTTTTGACGAAACTGTTATATTTTAAAAATATATCAACTAACTAAAAGACTGGTAGTAGTCTGTGATACGAAGAAAATATTGAAGTATTAATTAAAGTAAAATAAATATATACAATATATTTAGAGTGTATAAAAAATATATTTTATACAATTGTAATACTTTAAAAATAATTAATCTTTTTTAAATACAAACAATTTGTCACCATGCCGACGTGCTTTTTGTGCAAAAGTGTTATTGTAGATCTCGAAATATACAAGAGTCACATTTACGTTGATCATGGGTTCGAAAAAAGAGGTTATATATTCTGCGGTGAGTTAAATTGTCATCGACAATTTTCGTCATTTAAAACATTTAAGAGACATTGGGGTACAGAACATTATAATTTACATGAAATTAGTAGCAACACATCTAACACTCAATCTCAGCCAATTGAATCTGCAAAAGTTAATAACATCCCTAAAAATAGTGCATCTACTTCCGATACAAATGAAGCATCTACTTCCGATATTAAAGCACAAAAACACTTATCTGATTATCGTTTAGATTTAAAAAACATGTTTGAAATAGAAAAATTAAAAGAAGAATTGCATTCAAAAGCATTAAAAAAAATAACGGAGTTATACGCAGACTCTACTTTATCTAGAAATAAAGTGGGAATTTTTATTAATATGTTCAATACAATGGTTAGTGAAAAGTCAGAAATTTATTCTTTGATTTTAGATCGTTTGAAAACTTTAGGCGAATCCGAAGAAAATCTAAAAAATATTGCAGATGCTTTAATTTGTACTCAAAATCCGTTTCAGAAACTCGAAACTGAATATTTAAGGTTCAAACAATTGGAAGATATTGGTGTTTTAATTCCTCCTGTTAAAAAAGAAATAGGCTGTAAATATGTGCCTTGTGCTTCTCACAATTTAAATGTTATAGAGTCTCATAAAGAAGTCCACGCAGAGTTCATTCCATTAAGACAAGTATTAAAATCTGTTTTTGAAATGAAAGGGGTTTTTCAATCAGTGATGGCATATAAAGAAAAATTAGAAAATGAAAATAGTATACTCTCCAATTTCATACAGGGAACTTTATGGAAAAATTTAACCGAAAGATATTATGGAACAAAATTGGTCCTACCACTGTTCTTATTTTTTGACGACTATGAGACGGGAAATTGTTTAGGTAGCCACGCGGGAATGTACAAAATAGGTGCTTCTTATATTAATATTCCTTTATTTCCTCCAGAATTTGGATCTTCCTTAAGGAATATATATCTTGCTGAGTTATTTTATTCCGACGATAGAAAAATTTGCGGTAACCATTTCTCATTTTTACCCTTAATTGAAGAATTTAAATTTTTACAAGACACGGGCATCGAATTAAATCTCCCTGACTGTAAAGTACAAGTATATTTCCAACTTGCATTAATTACAGGTGATAATTTAGGATTAAATTCTATTTTCGGAATGACAGAATCTTTCAATTCAAATTTTCTTTGCCGAATGTGTAAAATGTCCAAATCGGAATTGCAATATTCAAATAGAGAAGATTCAAGTAAATTAAGAACAGAAGAATCCTATGATGCTGACTTAATACTTGATGACATTTCTAAGACTGGAATTAAAGAAGAGAATGTTTTTCACAAAATTAAAGGATTTCATATGACTTCAAACATTGTTGTGGACATTATGCACGATCTGTTTGAAGGTGTGTGCGACACAGATATGGCGGAAATTTTGATTTATTTTATTTTTGAAAAAGAATATTTTACTCTTAATGACTTAATTTATAGAATGCAATTCTTTGATTACGGGGCAATAGATAAACAAAATATTCCTCCTCCGGTTTCCGAAAAATTTGGACCTAAAAACACTTCTATTAAAATGTCAGCTAAAGAGATGTGGATCTTTACACTCTCTTTTGGTCTCATGATGGGTGACGTTGTACCTCATGACGATCCAGTCTGGAGGTTTTATTTAATTCTTCGTCAAATTATCTGTCTTGTAACTACTCCAAGTATTCAAAATGAATGTACTTACTTACTAGATACTCTTGTCGAAGAACACAATTCTTCATTTACGAAGCTTTTCAAGAAACCTTTAAAACCAAAAGCACATTTTATGACACATTACGGTAGAGTCATTAGAAATTGTGGTCCTTTAGTCTTTTTTGGGGGATGAGAAATGAAGCCAAACATCAAGAGTCAAAAACGACAGCTATTATTTCATTCTGTAAAAAGAATCTTTTATACACTCTTGCTCTCAAACATCAATTGAAATTAGCAAATATATTATTGTCTAATGAAGGTCTTGTTGAAAAGTTTGAAGTTGGTCCAACAAAATCAACGAATTTACAAAATTTAATTATTTTATATGAAATCAGCAATTATAGTTTTCCGTCCATTCAGGAACCAATATTTCAATGTAATTGGGTTAATAAGTCTGGCGTAAAATACCAAGAAAATTATGTAATATTGTTAGAAGAAGCAAATGAATGTTTACAGTTTGGCAAAATCCAACTTGTCATTATAGATAACGATAATAAAATTTTTTTTCTTTGTAGAAAGCTTCAAATCCTTGATTTTGATGAACATTTTGACGCATATGAAATAGAATATTCGAATGCAAAATGCATTGTGAACTATGATTCTCTGTTAAGGGGATCCCACTTATCGACATTGCAGATCTAAAATGATTAAAAATCTGCAACGACCGTTTCTTGGAAAATATAAGATATTATTACCTATAAATTTGGAAAACTCATTTTTTATCATAAATACACAGGATGAGTATTTTATTTGTTGTAATTATTTGAAAAAAATTATCGTTAGAAAGTTAAATATGGGCAGTTTCCCTGTAACACATCTTTGACTACTAGCTCAAACTGCAACGACCATTTCTCGAAAACGAGACGCATGCATATCCCCTAATCGCCAAGTCGTCGAATGATCAAATAGTCGAATGCCAAGTATAATCGAATGGACAAAAAGTCGAATGCTAAAAACATCGAATGGACAAAACGTCGAATGCTAAAAATATCGAATTGTCAATACGTCGAATGTTCAAAACGTCGAATTATCAATTCGTCGAATGTTAAAAACATCGAATTGTCAATACGTCGAATGTTCAAAACGTCGAATGATAAAAACGTCGAATGCTAAAAACATCCAACCGTCATGTAGTCGAATGCTAAAAATATCGAATCTTCAGTTAATCGAATGCTAAAAACATCGAATTCTCAATTCGTCGAATGTTCAAAACGTCGAATGTTTAAAACTTCGAATGGTAAAAACGTCGAATGTTCAAAACGTCGAATGCTCAAAACGTCGAATCGTCATTTAGTCGAATTATAAAACCATCGAATAGTCCATTCGTCGAATGCTCAAATAGTCGAAACGCCATCTGTTCGAATTATCAAGTAGTAGAATGGTAAAGTTGTCGAATGTTCAAAACGTCGAATCGTCATTTAGTCGAATGCTAAAAACATCGAATCTTCATTTAATCGAATGGTAAAAACATCGAATTCTCAATTCGTCGAATGTTCAAAACGTCGAATTATCAATTCATCGAATGTTAAAAACATCGAAACGTCAACATGTCGAATGTTCAAAACGTCGAATTATCAATTTGTCGAATGCTCAAAAAATCGAATTTTTAATACGTCGAATGCTTAAATCATCGAATTTTCCATTCGTCGAATGTTCAAAACGTCGAATGATCAAAATGTCGAATGCTAAAAAGATCGAATTCTCAAATCGTCGAATGCTCAAATAGTCGAAACGCCATCTGTTCGAAATGTCAAGTAGTAGAATGGTAAAGTAGTCGAATGGTAAAGTAGTCGAAATGCCATCTGTTCGAATTGCCAAGTAGTAGAATGGTAAAGTAGTCGAATGTTTAAAACATCGAATGATAAAAACGTCGAATGCTCAGAACATCGAACTGTTAATTTGTCGAATGCTTAAAACGTCGAATGATAAAAACGTCGAATGCTAAAATCATCGAATCGTCAAAAGTTCGAAAAAGTTCTTTGTTTTAAGTTAATGTCTACTGAAGACAAAGAACTTTTTCGAACTTTTGACGATTCGATGATTTTAGCATTCGACGTTTTTATCATTCGACGTTTTGAGCATTCGACGAATTAACACTTCGATGTTCTGAGCATTCGACGTTTTTATCATTCGACGTTTTGATAATTAGACTACTTTACCATTCTACTACTTGGCAATTCGAACAGATGGCGTTTCGACTACTTTACCATTCGACTACTTTACCATTCTACTACTTGACATTTCGAACAGATGGCGTTTCGACTATTTGAGCATTCGACGATTTGAGAATTCGATGTTTTTAGCATTCGACGTTTTGATCATTTGACGTTTTGAATATTCGACGAATGGAAAATTCGATGATTTAAGCATTCGACGTATTGACAATTCGATTTTTTGAGCATTCGACAAATTGATAATTCGACGTTTTAAACATTCGACATGTTGACGATTCGATGTTTTTAACATTCGATGAATTGATAATTCGACGTTTTGAACATTCGACGAATTGAGAATTCGATGTTTTTAGCATTCGATTAAATGAAGATTCGATGTTTTTAGCATTCGACTAAATGACGATTCGACGTTTTGAACATTCGACAACTTTATTATTCTACTACTTGATAATTCGAACAGATGGCGTTTCGACTATTTGAGCATTCGACGAATGGACTATTTGATGGTTTTACCATTCGACTACATGACGATTCGACGTTTTGAGCATTCGACGTTTTGAACATTCGACGTTTTTAGTATTCGACGTTTTGAACATTCGACGAATTGAGAATTCGATGTTTTTAGCATTCGATTATCTGAAGATTCGATATTTTTAGCATTCGACTACATGACGATTCGATGTTTTTAGCATTCGACGTTTTTATCATTCGACGTTTTGAACATTCGACGTAT